TTTTGGTGCTAAAAGGGCAAAAAATAGTCATGTCCAATACTGTCGCACTGTTACGGACCGTTAAGAGCAGTTGACGGATCGTGCGCTCCGTACAAACCGTCAGCGTTGCTAACGGTCCGTATTCTGAGCACATACGGAGCATGCATCTCATTATTACATCAGAGCAGAGTGTGTTACGGTTCGTACGGTCCGTGCGATCCGTACGAATCATAACGGTCCGAATGCTAAGAGCAGATGACGGATCGTACGCTCCGTACAAACCGTCAGCGTTGCTAACGGTCCGTATTCTGAGTACATGCAGAGGGCGCATTTCATTATGACATCAGGGCACAGTGTGTTGTCGGTTCGTAAGGTCTGTACGATCCGTACGAATCGTAACGGTCCGAATGCTAAGAGCAGATGACGGATAGTACGCTCCGTACAAACCGTCAGAGTTGCTAACGGTCCGTATTCTGAGTACATGCAGAGCGCGCATTTCATTATGACATCAGGGCACAGTGTGTTGTCTGTTCGTACGGTCCGTACGATCCGTACAATCGCAACGGTCCGTGTGCTTGATTGATACGGACCGTATTAATTTCTTCGTTATATAAGCTATATAAGGCGTAAAGCGAAACAAGCACGCTCCCACAGTAACATTCCTCGTTCTTTAAGCCATAAACCACAAGAAGCGCGCTTCAAATACAATATTTCTCGTTCTATAAGCCATATACTAAAGCAAGCGCGCTTCAAATGTAACATTCCTCGTTCTATAAGCCATAAACCACAAGAAGCGCGCTCCAAATGTAACATTCCTCGTTCTATAAGCCATAAACCAAAACAAGCGCGCTTCAAATGTAACGTCCCTCGTTCTATGAGCCGTAAACCACAAGAAGCGCGCTCGAAATGTAACGTTCCTCGTTCTATAAGCTTAAACCACAACAAGCGCTCTGCAAATGTAACATTCCTCGCTCTATAAGCCATAAACCACAACAAGCGCGCTCTTAATGTAACATTCCTCGTTCTATAAGCTTAAACCACAACAAGCGCGCTCCAAATGTAGCATTCCTCGTTCTATAAGCCATAAACCACAACAAGCGCGCTCTTAATGTAACATTCCTCGTTCTATAAGCTTAAACCACAACAAGCGCGCTCCAAATGTAGCATTCCTCGTTCTATAAGCCATAAACCACAAGAAGCGCGCTGTTAATGTAACATTCCTCGTTCTATAAGCCGTATACTAAAGCAAGCGCGCTCCGAATGTAACATTCCTAGTTCTAAAAGCCATAAACCAAAACAAGCGCGCTTCAACTGTAACGTCCCTCGTTCTATAAGCAGTAAACCACAAGGAGCGTGCTCGAAATGTAACCCTCGTTCTATAAGCCATAAACCACAACAAGCGCGCTCTTAATGTAACATTCCTCGTTCTATAAGCTGAAACCAAAACAAGCGCGCCTCAAATGTAACATTCGTCGTTCTATTAGCTATAAACCACAAAAAGCGCGCTTCAAATATAATATTTCTCGTTCTATAAGCCATAAAGACATAAACACTGACATGTTGTTTTTGTATCTTCGCAGGACTAAAGTAAATGAAACTGCTGAAACTGAAACTGAAACCGGAGATGATGCCGAAGGGGAGAACGTTATTGAAGTGACAAGTGAAGGTACCTGCTGGGCCTTCAAACAGTGGGCTGTTCACCTGATGTTTCCTCCTGATGCTGTATCTGAGCATACATCAATCGTGGTCCACAGATGGAAATACAGTGTCCGTTCACCCCCCGTGAAGGAACATGAAGCCATCACTAGCCATGTTATTGAACTATCTTCGTTGAATGGTCAAGAACTAAAATTTAACACCAAGGTGAAGCTGTCGTTATCTCACAGCGCAACAGACCTACAGGGCTATGAGCTAGTGATGAAAAAGCTGATTGACAAGGAGACTAATTATTGGGAAGACGTGGATGGAACCAGGGACATACGTTGTCGTCAAGGCTTCGAAGACAATCACCCTTCCCACATGAAAATAACGGACTTTTTCTTTCCCGTTGCTCAGGCTGATATATCTGAGTGCTCAACATACGCAGTAGTTTGCCGTCTCAAAGCTTCTCCAACTTACACCATCACATCTGGTGGCGGCTCATTTAGCCATCCTGACTTCCCAGGCGTGACAGTTACAATCCCTGAGAATGCTGTTACACCTAAGGCAAAGTTTCCGTTGGAGTTAAAGGTTCAAGAAGTTTCAAATGAAGAATTTGAAGTTGAGGGTAAATTTCTTGGACCTGTATTGAGAATCAAATGCTTTCAAGCTGTTCAGTTCTTGAAACCTGTCGCGATTCAGCTGCCAATTTCTCTTCGAGAGCAACAAGACTTGAATCTAAACCCCTCAACATGTCTCGTCAGAGTGCTGTTCCTCAAGTCCCATAGTGATAAAAAAGAATGGATTGAAATTACTGATGATCTTGTGAAACCGCCAAGTCTTGATCGAAAGTTTGTAAGGTTCCATGTGGAACGGTTCTCTGCATATTCGTATTATGTTGAGAGGAAAAACGAAAACTCCAGGTTTTATCCACAAAGAATTATAAACTTCCATAACAGCCGCATTGTTGTTCAGCCCACACTGACAGTCTTCTTCGCTTACTTTCGTCCGGATCTTTTAAACATTTTGTGTCTGATATGCTGCCCTGCTCATCTTAAAGGAGAGGTACTAAGGCAGGTTGAAAAACAAGGCATAACGCCTATTTACAAAAACTCGAAGGAAGATATGGTACCTGGGCATGATAAGGCATCCGTGTTGGTATCAGGAGGAATATGCCCACGAGAAGAGAGCGACATGGAGGAAATTTATCTTAGGCTTTTAGAGCACGATCCAGACGATGCTGAGTTGGAAGTTCGTTTTCGTAATGACAAAACAAGTCGAGTGGAATTTTATGGCATCTCAAAAGCCAGAGTGCCTCCATTGTGTAGATTGCACTTAAGAACGCCCACTAAGGGTGCGCGACAGCCTAGTGCACGAATGGAAGACAGTCCAACGGACGGTGTACTACAAAATCTGTCAAAAAAAGTCTCTAACGATTGGAGAACACTTGGGCGACAGCTAAACTTCCGTGAAGCAGATCTGCAAAATTTTGATAATAGCCATAGACAAATATCCGAAAAAGCATACGCCATGTTGTTAAAATGGAAACAAAGGGACGGCTCAGATGCTACCTACAGTGTTCTGAACCAGGCGCTGTGTGATGAGCGCGTAGAGCGTAAAGATTTAGCAGAAGAATTTTGTTGTTACTGAATTAGGTTTTTACTTTTTTTGCTTTCGACTGAATCGACAGCAATTTACTTCCTGCATCTTGTCGCCGGTTTAGTTTTCCTTTGCGTTTTTGTTCGTGCACACGCAAAATCCGGCAAGAGATATAAGTACGTGCGTTAAATTAATTGTTTTGTATAGTGTTCTGAAGTAATGTACTACTTACATAGAACTTGGCTTCGACTTCTTAGAAAGCGCTTTTATACACCCCACCCTCTCTCTGCTATACTATTTCGTATACTGGAAGTCTCTGTGATATAGTCTATTATTACAGAGACTAAGCACCTTAAATCGAATGGACGATGAAATACTATTTGGAGTAGGGAGAAAATTCTTGCTTCAAAATCACGCTTGAGTTTCTGAGTTGCGTGCAAACTGCGTTGCTTTCGGTTAGTAACGATAACGTTATTTTGAAGGCAAAACAGATTATTTTTAGAGAGTTTGTACTTGAACAAGATTTGCTCGCCTTCCTACCAACAGGATACGACAAATCTTGCTCGATTTGCACGTGCAAAATCAGCTTTTCGTAAATTTGCATACTCAGCACGTACAGTTCATAAAAAGGAAAAAAATTATGCAATGTAGTCAGGTTATTTTCCGCTGTGGTTAATTTATCGGCTGGTGCACGATATACCAAGTACATAGCCAACCTCGTTCCCAGCGTTCTCTCTCTTGCAGTATGCAATACTATTTTTTTCGGGTGTTGTTGACATTTTCAAATACCCGCGCCATCAGCTGAGTAATAAAAGAGGTGGTAAACTCCTCTCGGGCCCCGATAGAGCAACTTATGTCGTTGCGTCAATTATTTACTGTTCTTCCCCTCCCTTATTTTTGGCTCCCACATTTTGGGCACCACTTGACCAGTCCCAACCGGGTTTTTCTCGAAGCAAGAGAGAGAACCCTGGGAACGAGGTTGCCTTTTTTGGTTCAGTGACGTCAGCGATACGTTCCGCTAGCTTTTCTGAAAAACCTTAAATAAGAACGGCCGAGACCAGGTTTTATAAGCCTGCGAGACTGAGCACCCCCAACAAACCCTTGTTTTCACAAAACCGCTGGTCAGCCAAACCTGGTTTAGGTCGTAGTTATCTAAGGTCTTCCAGCTTTTCTTCGCCGATCTTGCTTTGAGTAGACTCCAGTTTCATCAAGGGGGACGCCTAGTGTGGGCTACGTGCATGACAAGCCAACTTATAAATCAAGCGTAACCCAATTCTTTATTTTTGTTGGAGAGTTAATTTATTTTGCGGTCATTCTTTTGTTAACGTTTTCCTTGAAGCTACAACATGCACGGTACTCATGATAAGGGTAAATCATCCCTTTTCCTCTTCCCAAAGCAAGAATATGTTCTGATTAAACTCCTAGGTTCATTAACAGTCTGAGTAACTTTTTTTTCGACTGTGATAATCACAAGGCTGCATCATACGATGTTACACTCCATGAACAAAACATGTCGTCCTAGTATGGACCCTACGTACTTGTGATACGCGCGCACTGACCCCCCTGATCCCATCTGACCCACCCCACACAAGAGTTATATTAAACAACATTTTATTTACACTACAGAAATCATGCGAAACCCGTGTTCTTCGCCCTCAAATAGCATTTGTTTCGCTTTAGTGTCCATTTTTGTCATATTCAGTTGGAATCGAACTCAAAATGGCGGAAAGTGAGACTCAACGCATTGAGCTGATTAGTGAAGGAGAGACTCAACGCACTGAGCTGATTAGTGAAAATGAGACTCAACGCATTGAGCTGATTAGTGGAATCGACGAGATAAGGACGATGAATCAAGTAATGGAGGCGCTTGACATTTCTTCGAAAGGGTGTCGAACGATGCAAGATATGAAAGATCGAGTAATAACTACAACAAACCAGTCCTCAAAATTAATCAGTTGGAGTGCAGGACAGGTAGGGATGATTGCTATTAAGAGGAGAGATGTGCAGATTATGCTATTCTTCATTAGCGTGTTATTAAGTAACAGGCTTCTTGTAAGATGTTATTTCTGAGACAGGGCATTGTGCAAGAAGTTTGTGTGAAAACTCCACATAAGAGTCCTTTGAACGTAATTAAACTGCGAAATTTCAGATTTATATGTTGAGGACAGCTGTAGACAGCTATTTGAATTACTTCAGCTGTTTCTTATCAAACGGGCTTTCTGTCGTTTCTACAAACATCTGGTTGACGAAGAACTAGGCAAGTGTGGCGGAAAAGTCATAATAGGGGTTAGATTTTTTGAAGTTTGGCAAAATAGATTCTTATAGTTTGGAGTACTTATTGGAAGTTTAGTCTAAATAGGTTCTTAATTAGGTTCTTAATTTTTATGAAGAAGGATACTGTTGTTGCGATTAAAGGAAATTGCTGTAAATGGTATTTGTCCTTCACAATAGGCATTTGTTTTTCCAAAAATCTAACAAAACTAGGTTAACAGCTAGAAGATATGCTGTTTTCAACAATGGTTGTTAACATTATACATTTATTATATAATGTAATATTATAATAAATTTGCCATATTAAAGCCAGACTTTTGGTCAAAATAATGTTTATGAAAATGTAGTCGGGCCGCACATAAAAGAACCTGTTGATTTTTCTTGGCTAAACTGGTTCTTATATTTTGGAGTATTAAAATGACAAATTTCTGCCAGCAGGTTCTTAAATCCTAGGTTCTCCTTCGCGGCGTTTTACTGTATTGCGTTGTAGCTTCAAATCGGTTTTAAAATCTACATTAAAATGTAGATTTACCTTTCTATCAAATGTCAGACGAATGGCACATCTTTTGTTCCTGGCGTATTTCCTTGTAGCTTTTATATTAGGGCTAGTACCTTACTGAACAGGATACTCACATCTAACAAATCAAACCCCATTTTTCGTGAACAGTGAGCGATCATCTAAGTTTTCGTAGAGCTATCCGACAGTAATTGAAGCCGTTGTTTATCGATGCCTGGAGGGAAGCTGGAGGGAAGCTGGCCATCAGGGAGCTTGTCCGTGTCGTAACAGATGCACTGCAGCAATAACGCATTGCTTTCACTAAGTACTACATTTCCAGCTGGGACGTGAATAAGATAGGTTATCAATTAGGTCCAAAATTTCGTTTACCATGGTGTAACAGATCAGTGTCATTCATAGTCATGCAAATAAAGCTTATGTTGTTGTTGCGATATACATGTATCACATCAGCAAGTGCAAATAGCAGCAGGGGAGTAGTTAGGAATTTTCCAGAGGAACACACGGTTTTCCAAATCCATCTTACTATCTCACTCCCAAGCCGCATTAACCGTTTACTTAAAGAATGAATCAGTTCATGGTGAAGGGTTTTAAGTTTGATATGTTAATGGTCCTTATATTTGTAAAATTTTAAGGTGTAAGTTTTGAGTATCTTTGTCATTCATGAGGTAGGCGCCCGGGGGTAGGCGGTGCAATCAGCATTTTGCAAATGCTGACAATTCCTTGAAAATTCCTTTAAACGTAGTGTAATTTTTGAGTGAAACCGTCGTCCTTTTATTGTGAGCGAAAAAGCGAAATTAAAACGGTCTGCTTTCACTGATCGACTTCACTGCTAGTGGGCAGTTAGTATAAAATGAATTTGCGCTCTCTGAATTTGTCGTGAGCGAGCTCCAGTCATGTGAAAAATTAAGCAGGTAATAACGCGCGGTACAAGTTTCAAAAGAGAGAAAAAAATCATCTGGTGTGGCTTTCAGCTCAATGTAAAAGTTGGAATTCGGAAATTTCATCTCACAATCGTGCAGGTACAATAAAGAAACGTACCATGAAAAAGACAGGAGCCGGCCCCACGTCAATTTTGGGAAAATATCTGTCCGGAAGTCGATTTGAGATCTAGAGAGATTTTCGGAACACTTTTTGTAAAATTTCTTGCTTGCCTGCCTCTCCTAGGATTTTCGAACATCTAAAAAAATGGTATAATTGCCTATACTTAACGGATTTGTACCCTAAAAAGGTCACCTGGAATTTTCGGGAGCCCTTCTTCTGGCTGAAACTTTCTAATAGGTCAGTTTGATCCCCATAATTTTCGGATCACTAGCCCTTCAGCTGGGAAATCGACCCCAACAGATGAATTAGGGGATAAAAATATGCCTATATATACAGTTTAAATACTAAAATACGTTTAACAATGCTATGTTTTAAGTGGTTTTGATCTATATTCCCGTTGGGTGACCCTCCGGTTATCCGGAATTTTAAATCAGGAGCAGCGTTGGTGAACAGTAAATGATGATGGGTCAATTTTTTTATTTTCAGTTCAGTTCTTAACAGACTTGACTTGTCTTCTTTCCTCAGGCCTTTTCCGTTTTGTTAGATGCAAAAGATGACGATGTAAGAAAAAGAGCTGGGTTACAGAGCCTTTACACTGAAGCTGAGGGATTGCTAAATAAACTGGACCCCCAAATTGTTGCCCCACTACAACAGAGTGTTCCTGATTTTGCGCAGAAGCTGGAAAACCACAAGCTGCAACTAACACAGAGGGAGTACTTTGTGCTTGTAACAGGTAAATCATAGTACACTTATAAACTAAAAGAACATTATTATTCTTTCAAAACATATCGCCTTTTCTGATTGGCTTAAATCCCGAACCAATTCTTTATGACCGTCAATGTGGACACAAAAATTGATTTTGACAGGTAGATCGTGCATTCACTAATCGGATGCGTACTTGAAACCGCAGAGAATACACCCGGAGCAGTCAATCGATAAAAATCGGTATCGATTTATCAACAACGATAAAAATCGGCAAATCTGATTTGAGTGATATCGATTGTATCGATCAATGGGTAGAAATCGATGACACACTCGCTTCGTTCATCGATTTGTCTTGATTTTTACCGATTTCGTCCATTTATATCGGAAGATACATCTGTTCATCTGTTTATCAAAAAATGAAGACTGAACTCATGCAAACAGTAAACTTATTGACAATTGAGTTGCAATTGAGAGTCGAAGGATCAGACTTTTATCACTCTCTAAAGAAATCTTTAAAACAATCTTATCTTTTCTTTAAAATCTTCTGATGGCTGATATTGGCCAGGTTTGTAGGGGCCCATCTGCCACACTGCACACTTTCAAAATAACGTCGGTGTACCTCCGGGTGTAGTTACATAAAAATCGAAATCGATAAAAATCGTCAGCAATCAAGTGATTTTTATCGATTGGTAACGGAAAACAGTTAAAATTTATCGAGGAAAATCTTTTAGCCTGAATTTCTGACTGATCCCTTCGACTCGAGGGAATGTCTGAAATTCAGGCTTAGGTTGTATTTCCTGCGATACTTGCCTGCGAGAACTGAATGTAAGTAGACCGCAACCTCGTTCTCCTACTCGTCCTATCCGTCCTACCCTGTCTCTTTCCGTAGGGAAGGGTAGGAGATCACCATGCTGGGAACGAGGTTGAGTAGACCGTAACTTTGAGTTGTTACGTACAAAATAAAGAGTTTTAGAGAGAAACTTGTGCGTAGTTTCCACAATTCTCATTTTCATGATTGCTGATAAGATGTTACTCGTGGATGTGATTTCTAGGCGGTACCTATGTAACTCGTGCCAAACTGAACAACAATGGCGGACGTCCGTTATATCGCTACAATCATGGAAAATCGATAATATCGATTTGACACAGCAATTTAGTTTATCGATTTTCACCGATTTCCTTTGTCAATCGATAAAAATCACTTGATTGCTACCGATTTTTATCGATATCGATGTTTGCAAGAGAGAATGAGCTCATTCTGTCTTGATTTTTATCGATTGACTAATCCGGGAATACGACAACCTTTTTTTCTGGTATGGTCACGAAACCGCTGCAGTGAAAAACAGTTGTTGTTATAGATTTCTATCGATTTTCAATCAAAAAGTGATATCGGCAATTATAGATTGATCGATTGGTTTTCCGATATAGGTTTTTATCGATTGGAATGCACTCGTCAGGCTGATAAAGGTCTGTAGTGAGGGCCGACACTCCCCATACGCTTATTTATGCGCTGGACGAGATAAGTTTATAAGCTCCTTTGACTCGCAGCAACTTTATTTCCATAACATTCCACAACCAGAGGGTAATTTTGAACATTTCTGACGTCGACAAGGTTGCAGGGCTTGCAATTTGTTTAAATATATATTTTTTGTTCTATCCTTTTGTTTACTTCTTCATCACCTTGCCGTAAGGATCAGTTTGCCGTTTCATATTTTTCTACAAGTTTAATTGTACTGATCCAGGTCTGAACTGGGAGATCCGGCACCACTCATAGGTTTGTTGCTGTGGACTTGCTGACATTTTATGTAAATATAAAGCCCTTGAAGTACAACATTTTGCTGCGATTTAGTTTTAATCGTTTTATAGAATAAAACTTTTTGCTATGGTCCTGATATATAATACGTTTTTATGAACGATTGCACAAAAAAGTTAAAAATAAGTGAAATTTTAAATTTTGCTAATAAACGGCCCGACCACACTCCAATTTTGACACAATATCCCCACCCCCTCCGCGCTCTTTTACTTGCGCCATTTTTTGCGTGGTCTTTGACTCTCGTTCCTCGTTCTTTGCCCCTAAACCGCACTGAAACGCTTGCTACGCAGGCTACCAGGATCCATTTTCGTCCTCCTTTGAGAGAGGACCCTAGTTCGATTGTTTTCTGGAGTCCCTCTAAGTGGCTTCAATCTCATCTTATGTATTGGTAACTTGTTATCTTCACAGGAGAGACAGGTTCTGGGAAAGGTAGCTTGATAAATCTTATTTTGGGAGAAGAGCTTCTTCCATATTCTGTTCTCAGTACAACGTCTACCATTTGCGAGCTAAGATTTGGGGAGGAACGTAAAATTGTTGCCCACTATAAAGATAAGGATCCTGAAACAGGCCTACCAACAAAAGTTGTCCCCTGAGGAGAGTGTCAAGGCAGAGAATCAACAGAACAAGGCTATCTTCAGCAGATTGCACCTTATGTTCATGTAAAGAGTGATCGCGAAAGAGGATCAATTTTCAAAAAGATTGAGCTCTTTGGGCCTCACAGTCTCTTGGAGGTAGGCTTGATAGACTTCATACAGTTTAAAGTTGTAGTTTGTGGCCAATTTTATGATATATCAACTCATCAGGCGAGGTATGGCTATATAAAAGGTTATAGAAAGAATACTATCGAGTGTGATTAGTAATGGATATATAACTGTACTATTGCTTAAATATATGTATTTTTTGGTTAGTATCGTGACTGTTACCCAGCAATCAGCAAAAAGCATTATTGATATTATTTCCGCTGGCTAACGACTGTTTGTTCAGTGAGCATACAAACGTGTAATGAGGAAACTTTTTATAAAGCTATTGAAAAGGACCAATATAAATCAAACCTAGCTTTTCATTTGTATTTCAGAAAGGAATTGTGATAGTTGACAGCCCTGGAGTTGGCGAGTCGGATATTATGGACGAGATAGTTACGCAGTATCTACCTCAGGCATTCGCTTTCCTCTATGTCATCAACAGTGCAAACGCTTGTGGAGTTCAGAGAGACCGAGTAAGTATCGCAAAAACGATTTTTCACCCATGGAAAGAAGTCACAAGTGTCAATTTAAGGAGCATATTGTTTTAGAGGTTACGAGAAAAGAAAACCTGCAACCTGTCATACCACAGAGAACAACGCTACCGAAATGTCAGTAAAATGGGCTAGGTGACATTTTTATTGTTGCAGCGAATTACTTGCATAGGGGCCATTCGTAGCAGCCAAAAAAGCCAATTAAATTTTAATCATTAGTTTATCATTTTGCCTGATTTCATATTGAATGTTTGCCTATTACTATGGTACCCTGTAAAGTTTGATTTAGTGCATGTACTATTAATTTTTACTGACTTTAAAATTTCTCCTCGTATTCCACCCGTAAGTTGCATTTATATAGTTAAATTATCTTTCATCCTATCTGGACGACTTTGGTAGAATCCCCCTTTAAGAGCTCCGCATAGATTCAATGATCATGCACAATATGTCTATTTCATTACTCTTTCAGCTTGAAAGATTACTAGAGAAAGTCAGAAAAGTGACTCTTGAAAGACAGGGAGCATTTCCTACCAAATCTGCCCTTTTTGTGTGCAACAAGTGGGACCAAGTCCCAGAGATGGAACGGAACGAGGTGAAGAATCACGTGATCAAAAAATTGCAAAGATGTTGGCCTGGGGTTGATCCCGAGTCACAGATCATATATATGTCAACTAAAAATGCCAGTCAAGCCCAAGACTACAAGATTGTTACCGAGGAATTTTCCACTTTGATGAACAGCTTGAGGCGCATGGTGTTAAAGAGTATTGGAGACATGTTGGAAATTCATTGGAAGTAAGCATCAAGCATCATGTACATGTTTTATAGGAGCGATTTTAACAGTTTTAAGGAAAAACATCATATCCTGGGGAATAAACTTACTTCGTAAAATGCAGACCAGTGTGTTGTTTAATTTTCGTTTTTTCCAGGGAGTTTGTCAAACTGACTTCAACTCCAAGTATATCCCTACTAACTAAATGGGATTTATACCCGGGGAGACATTTGAGGGAAGCTTGGGTAGAGTTGTACCGCCGAGGCCTTCAAACCCTGACCCTGTTTATTAATCAAAAAATTTTTCATTTTGCTACCCTGTAAAGACAAGGGACCTTTTTTACCTCGACCTTGAAAACCATACCTTGTTCAGTGGCGCATACTCGTTTAGGCCAAAAAGGGCAGTGCCCCCTGGGACTCACGCAACCAGGGAATACACCCCTGAAAAAGATTAGCTTAAAGATTATTCAGTTTAGTCTGTCACAGGTCGTCAGATGAAAATGTCAGTGTCTTGTTGTTCTTTTATCATTTCATAGTTGGTTGGATAACCTTCTCTCACGAACAATCTATCACGCGAAAGCCTTCGTGATGAATGCCTATAGAGATCGCGACAAAGTAATCCTGAGAACAGAGAAGATTGCTGACCGTATCAAGGAGATTGAAAAGGAACAAAGCAAAGTAATTGCAGACCTTAATGTCTACCAGAAGAAACGAGTGAATGGTGCTTTGGGGGAGCTATCCGGGTACCTCTCGTCGGAAGTTGTGAAAGCCAGCTTCACTTCATGGACAAAGGACGAAGTGCCAGCCCCAGAAAACTCCTGGGAGGTAACAGAAAACCAAATCGCAAAAGTTCTCTCCAAGCGGCTACGTGATCTCATAGAGCAATGGGAAGAGGACAAGCAAGTGTTTGCAGGTGCTCGCGCGTCAATCGAGCAACACTTTCAGGAGCGTTACAATTTCATGGAAGGTCAGCTGAGGGATCTTCAGAACGCCATCACTGTTGACATAACAGATGTTTCAGCGGATCAGCTTCAGCTTTCTCAAGCAAATTTCTCCTTGGCTAAAAAAGTCGTCATTGGTGTCACAAGTCCAATCTGGGTTCCACTTGGTTTAGTTGCTTTGGTGATCGGCGTTCCTATTTATGGTATCGTGGCTATGAGAAGCAAGTTGGAGGATAGAAAGAAAATGAAGAATTACGAAGAGGACAAATGTGCCTTTATGAGAGAAGCGTCGGCAGTGTATCTTGAAAATGTGATAGAAGATAAATGGCTAAGGCCTTTCGTGAAGGAACAAATGAAAGAAGCCAAAATCTTCCTCAAGCAGATTGAAGCCCGTCTACCAGAATTGATTGAAGCAGACAAGATGTTATGCAAACAACTTTGTGACGAAACGCGTACACAGAGAGAGATAACTGAACGTTACCGGCCCATAATGGATGAAGGTTCTCATCTCAGAGGACGCTTAGCAGAATTTGGGTTCAAAGAGGTTCGAGCCACTGATATCAGTGCTGATAATCTAGAATGGAAAGAGGATATTCCTTCCGCAGTGGGATGCGGTGCATTTGGTGTTGTGTACCAGGCAAAGATGAAAAGAAATAAGGCCTACATCACCGTGGCTTTGAAGGTGTACCAAAGCGTGCTTGACGCTCAAAATGCAAACCATTTTATGGCTGAAGTACAAATTTTAAGGTAAGAATATAGTCACTAGCCTTTGACTCTGGAGATTATACCCTCACAGGTTGCTGAAACGTCAGTCATTGTCAACAACAGTTCTATTCAGGACTACGCTCATCGGGACGATCATGAATTATTCCACCTACGTATGAAAAGATTCCTGGGTTCAAACCTTTCACAGTTGTAGATATGAGTCATGCACATAAATTTTCCGTAGAACTGTCATTCAAAAGCTACTTCTTTTTATTTTTATGATATCATTGCTGATTATTGATGTGAAACGTTTCAGAGGCTTTGCCCAGCTCAGTTGCTTTTTTCTTAGGTAAATTAGGCCTGGGCCTAGATCTATTTTATAAAAAAGTAAAGAGAGTGGCCTAAAACTTGATCCATTTTATATACCGTAAAATTCCGAAAATTAGCCCCTCCATGTATAAGCCCCTCCAAAAATAAGCCCCCCCAAATCGTAACGCAAAAAATCCTCCGTTAAGTCGCCCCTCCGAATATAAGCCCCCCGGGGGCTTGTACTTGGAATTTGCCCTCGAATACAAAGTAAAACAAAGCAAAAATGGTAAATTTCCTTCCCACTACAAGTTAAGCTAGCCCAATCGATTTTAAAACGCAAATTTCCTTCCGTACATAAGCCTCTCCAAAAAAAAGCCCCTCAAAAAGGGCCTTTGAAAAATATAAGCCCCGGGACTTGTTTTCGGAATTTTACGGTAACATTGAAAAACTTTAAATCCTGTTTTGGATCATATATTGTCACGTGACGTGTGAAAGTTATTTGTTACTCAAAAATCTTCCCAGCTAATCGGCAACAATTTTTATTATTGTCTGGTGGCTGCGTTTAGGTTTATGATATTGACACTATTAGGTACATCATTTGTGCTTGGACATCTTGAGATAATTTAGAATAAAAGTCCGGAAAAAGAATTCTTTTTCATTGGGGGACTGGGCACTAAAACAAAATGCCGTATATTTTCAAAACCAATGACATATCTAATAAAGGCCAAGCACAGTTCGTTTCCTTTTACCATTTTAATGCATCTAATTGTAACAAACTTAAAGGGCTGAAAGCATAAACTGTTGCAGTTTTTGCTTTTGAATTGTTTGTCCGTACCAAGTCACGTGACCTTATTTGCATAGGAGATCAAGGGATGGCGCAGTGGTGAGAGCGCTCGCCTCCCACCAATGTGGCCCGGGTTCAAATCCCGGCGTCGACGCCGTATGTGGGTTGAGTTTGTTGTTTGTTCTCTCCTTTGCTACGAGAGGTTTTTCTCTGGGTACTCCGGTTTTCCCCTCTCCCCAAAAAGCAACATTTCCAAATTCCAATTCGATCAGGAATCAGTTAGACGAAGAAGCACTTTGTGGATGTGCTACCTCCAAATCATTATTTATTGTTATTTATTTATACATATCTTCCACATCAATATAACCAGATTTGTGACCTTATTAGTCTGCCAAAGTTTTAGGTTGCTATGAACAATCTTTCAGAAGTCAGACCACTCCCTTACTTTTTCGTGCAATAACTTGGAATGAACAACCTCGTTCCCTGGTTCTCACTCCTACCCGAGAGAACCCTGGAAAAGAGGTTGTAACTGGAATGAATGGACCCTTCCACGGTTTTTTCAAACTTTTGACATGGACTAGTTAGGGCAGATCTGTCGACACCGCTAGAAAGTTTGCCTAACCATTAGTAAAATTGTCAAATTTGAAAGTGATGCCACTTAACGAGCGAAGGTATAGCCCCCTCAAAGTTGCGAAAATTTACAGACGATTGTATGGTGTGCCCCACCATAAAAATGTCTGTAAAATTTAATTATTTGCCTTATCAGCTAAGAATTCGAGAAAAAATAAGGCCAATTCATATGATTCATTTATTCTTTTTACTTTATTGTAGGAAATTGAGGCACCCGCACATTGTAAAGTTTTATGGCACCTCTCTGCTGTGGGAGGAAAATTCCGTGAGAATTATTCTGGTTTTAGAATGGTGTAAGGACGACCTAAGGAGTCACATCTCTAAAAAGGAGGAGTTAATTCCAGGAAAATCAAGGAGTGATGACGCCATTCGAAACGTCTATCAATGGGTCAATGAAATCATTGATGCCCTGGCATACATTCATGAACAAGGGATTGTCCACAGAACCTTAAGCTAGATAACATCTTGGTAAGTGAGTATACGTAAGAGCCCTTTTAATGTGCCAAATTGTATTTAGTTTTCACAACTAATTGCGGACACTGCAAAAAAATTAAAATTATTTATAATGAGAAAGAAAGAATGTATCATCAATTGCCTGATGATTGCTTCGCGAGATGCATGAAACTCTGAGTAGCAATAAATGCTCAAGACTTAATCTAGTTCCATCAGTCTACCTACAATCAAAACATGTGGGATTTATAAATTTTACAATAAAACAACAGGTGTATAAAAGGTTGTCTCTGAGAATTGCAAAGGTTACAGCAGTTATTGTTGTTGTTTTACTGTGAAATTAGGTCTTTTTTCCTAATGGTAAGATGCAAAATTGCGTTTTTTCGTTCGTTCTTTGTTCAAAAGTAGTGTACGGGGCGATCCTTACGTGTCGCTCATCGAGTAGTTATAAGTGTATGACAGCAAATTACGTTTTAAGTTTAGGTTACCAGCACTGGGTTGAAACTTCCTTATCAAGTCAGTAGTACACGTTAAAAACCCTTTATATAAGTAGATATCGGCATATTTGTGTTTATACCGTGTCTGAAGAAAAGAAAAGAAACAAACACGCCAGCTTTTACTGTGATAAAAAGTCTGTCAAATAGATCATTTTTTAAAGAAAAAAATGCATCTACCTATGCTGGGGAATAAATACAGGGGTATAAACTCAGTTGAAGGACGTTTTTGACCTCATCTACTCCGAAGGTAGCATCCTTTTTCTTTGGGTTTAGATATGCAGCTCCTCCACTTACTTAAACGTCTGAATCCGCCATTTATACACCTAGGGTTTGAATAGATAAATAAATGAATGAACATCGCTTATTCCACTCTCTTGCAGATGACTGAATTAACAAGAGGTTATAACTAACAACAATGCTACATTAAAGCTATATATCAATTATACTCCTTGAAATACTAGTTGAAATGATATTCATGGCGGATACTTAAATGACGAATATCTTTAAATATTTAAACAAGTAAAACAGTTCTCTGAACTCTTAGTTCTCATGAACTTTTTGAGTGGTCGAGAGGAACCAGGTCTAAGGTTATAAGGATTAGTTCTTTGTACTACAGTGGACACCAAGCACAATAATGGGTGGTCACGGGTGTCTGCCATCTCAGTCATAAATTTATGACCTAGCTGGGAGCTCGCGTCTGTTGCAAAGTCGTTGGCTAGTGACAGTGCTTGACTGTACGAACTGTTAGGATATATGATTTTAAGTGCCTTTTTTTTGCATGGACTCTATTCTATCTGACAGATAGTCAGGAATGTCTTGCCACACCTGCATAGCATATTCTAAAATCGGTCTAACACTTCTTCTAACACTTCACTCGCCAGTTCGTAAAGGGCGTAAAGTTTCTTTTATGCCTCAGCGGTAATATAGTCAAAATGGGTCAGTAATACAGTTTAAACCTGTTGTCTACTATTAATCCATTTAATGCATATAAGACAACCTGTGACTGTTGAAAAGACACCAGAGAAAATTCCAAAATTAGTCCACAACGTTCTCCATTTTCGAGAAGAAATAAAACAGTTTTTCGTATCTTCTAAATTCTTAAACGTTTTAGCCTGGGAAAAAAGGAGGTTGAGGAATTCAACGAAAGCATAGGGTATGTAATTTCCTCGGGCCTAGCCATCTTTAAAAGGTAAAACGGTATCAGTAGTGAAAAGCAAGTAATCCTACTTTTTAAGTTAGATTTCTTTTTCTTTGAAGCTGTCAGAGGAAAACTCAGTGAAAGTTACGGACGTTGGAATATCAAAAGCAGCAGTAGACATTACTGGTACCCTTGCTGGAAGCCCTGCCTACATTGCACCAGAAGTGATCAAATCCCAGGTGTATAACAGCAAAGCAGATATCTACAGTCTTGGGATATTGTTGTGGGAGATATGGTACGGAGAACAAGCCTTCGCCGGAACCGAATTAGCATTAGATGCTTTCTTTAAGATGGTAGATGATGGTGGTCGTCCCAAACCTTTGGAATGTTGTCAAAAACCTGCCTCTCGCTGGGAAGAGCTAATGGAGAAGTGTTGGAATGAGGATCCTGAGAAACGCCCCTCAGCTAAAGAATACTTGAAAAGTATTTCAGCCATTTTCAAAAACGAATAAAAACACAAGGACGTCTTAGCAGCATCAACTGACGTAAAGTGGTGCATAGTATTAGCCTGAGTCAATGAAGTATATTATTAAGTACTACTATGACAATGGAAACTACAGTAAAAACTCTCAAGTTTTTCCAAGATAGCACAAACACGTTCTGACATATTCAAATGATAATTAGCACAAGTTTAGGCTTGAATAGAATTTGGTGTGATTCAGTCTCTTTCTTATACAAAACAAGTGTTTATGAACCCCGGATCAAATAAGTTTTGAATTCCTCCTTCAGAACATAAGATATTTTATTCTCAACATTGGCATTTACAAGGTAGAGAAGAGGACATTAAAATGTTGATTTATCTTATTTCTCCACGTGTACGCACCGTTCAGGGGCACCCAACGACAATTTTCGGAAAATTATCTGTTCGGAAGACGATTTGAGATCTAGAATTTTCGGATCATTTTCTGTAAAATTTCTTGCTTGCCTACCTCTCCTAGGATTTTCGAACATCAAAAAAGGTCACCTAGAATTTTCGGGAGCCTTTTTTCTGGCTGAAATTTTCGAAAAGGTAAATTTTGATTCCTATAATTTTCGGATCACTATACTTTCAGCTAGGAAATCCGAACAGATGAAAAATTTTTAGGGGATAAAAATAAGCCTTTATCTACCGTTTAAATACTAAGGTACGTTCAACAATGCTATATTCTCGTTGGGTGCCCCTGACCATTTTAGTCGATTTTAGAAAATAGAAACTGCTATAAATTCAGACTAAACAGGTTTCTTTATAGAAAGGTTCTATCTGGAAAATTTTAGCCTAAGAGGTTCTTGTAAAACTGAATTATTACTTTCTCTTGAAATTATTGAGGTATTGAGGAAACAAAGCTCTTCACACACTACATTAACCTGGAATCCCTTTACTTTTTAATCATTCAGTTAAAATATTTCCCTGTTTCTGACTGGCTAAAATCCCAAGCCAATTCTTGTTGCACATGTTGTGCAAGACTTTCAACTTTATTTACACTTCAGGTGTTATTTACTTTACCAGTTAGGTGAAATTAGGGGAAATTGGAACTGGGCTGAAATAAAATGGCTTTTTGCAGAAGTGTACGGTGGACAGAGGAGCAGAGCTTTCGAGTGGACCACCGCTTACAGGGAATATAAAAGATAGACTAAGTGCCATGGCTAGCTAGAGAACGTTAGTTACTTTAGCATGTTGAATGTTATTGTGAGTTTAATAAAAATGTTTTTTAATTTGTCTTGAATTGAAAATAGCCAAGAGTCTTCATGCTAGTAGGATTCTCCTCCCAAATTTTGGCAATTGAAAACTTAAAAAGTGTGTTTGCCATAATTTGTTCTTACATTTGGCATTTAAAAATTAAGTTTGGAAGCATACCTGGTCCAGTGTTATGTGGGTAGAACACGTATACTAAATATACGCAAGACGTATTGCTGGTTTTCAGTGTCACGCCATTCAAAATAGATCAAAATAAAAATCAAAACCGTTCAATAGATAAAGTCCAGAATCTGGGAAATGAAAGGAGGTACACATACAAGGACCCTCGCCACGATTCAGGTCAGAGGAATATTTCGTATACGAGATATCCGAAGAAATGTTTTACCCAAACTTTAGAGATTTGTATGGAGACGCCATGCTGGTGCTCACCTGAATGAGCTCCAACATGGCGGACGGAAACCAACAGAAACATCTGTTACCGAGTTTCGCTACAAAAGCGTGAATTTATTCTTTGAGAAACTCATAAACATTAAAGTAATACTTTTTCTTATACATGAACTGTTTAGATAGCAAAATTTCTTGAAATAAGTCATTTTTTTAACGTACATGACAGCTCTCTTGGCCGTCATGTAAATGCCGCGTCACGCAAAAGCTTAGAAATTCAAGCGTACTCTGTCACAAAACCAAGAACCCTTTTGAAGCGAAAATTTGTATGAAAATTAGTTTGCAGCTTCTCTAATGCATCGTGAAAGAAAAATCTCGGTAGGATCGATAGTTTTTTAGTTTGAATTTTAGTGACGTCATGTGAAAACCAAGGATACCGTGAATATACAACAGAGGGATATACCTGTTAGGTTATGTAAATAAAGTGTCACTAAAAGAAGCAGTACTTCATGTTTAATACTGAAGAATTTGAATTATTACTTTTAATCTAGATTTTTGTTATCTTCTTTTCAATTGTTCTATCTCCATTTCATATTGAAAGAGCATTGGGATTTTTATGTGACGCGCGAAAAACGGCTTGTTTATTGGCAGCACTAGTTTCTGACCCTGTCTGATTTTATTTTAAACATGAAACGTTCTCCTAATCTAAGTGGAAGGGGAGTTTTGATTACGGCCTTTGCTATCGTGGAAGCGGAAAGGAACGTAAAATTGAAAGCTTTAAATCTTAATTTTCTGGTACATAGGCCTCAGTGGCTGATTGGCCTGCGACATGCAACATATAATCATTGCTCACGTTTTAGCATAATTCATACAGGTGGCACTTATAATTATATGATCGATGATCCGAAGTACCGCAGCCTAGGAAAAATGACTCAGTACAAGTACAAAAAGGATGCTTAATAAGTTTAAATCGACCATCTTTTTTCATGTGATAAAATTGGCCGTTAGCTCCACCCAGACCGAGGTCAACAGTGGCGGTAGATGTTCACGTGACCCTCCATTCCCCCCAGCCATTATTACCAAATATGTCACCATTTCGAATAATACAATTTTTAGGCATCAATAGCTTTGCCGATTCGCTGTCCACCAAGGTCTTCCGTCGACGACATCTGTAGTGGACCATGCATATACTGCATGGATTGACGATTCCAGCAATTCAACTGTCTAATGAGAATATCATCTGTATTTAAGTGTATACTAATCGACCTTTGAAGGTTGCAGCTTTAGTCTAGATCTAGATTGGTCAATATTAGACGATTATCTGGTGAGGGCAGAAGAAGCTTCATTACATAGCCAATATAAAGTGTTTAAAGTTGGAAGGTAAGTGATCCCTTTTTAGCTTGAATTCATTCATGACTAATTAGTATTTTGATCATTCAATGAATAAGAATGCTTGTAAAGAAAAAAGCAGCCAGAATATCAAACGAGCGCGGGTTTGTGTGTCTCGCGTTTTACAGCCATGCACAACCGACCTTTCTTAATGTAAAGTAGGTATAACCAATTGCTTTTATCGTATAACCTATGATGATCTAAGCAGACTTCTTTTCTTCAAATATAGAAAGTCGTTTAATTAAATAATGACTACCGCTAATTTAGCATTTTGCGATCAAACGATCTGCAGTGGTATGTTATGGACAACAGTTCTGCCGTGAATTCTTTGAATATCTGTCATCAACTAGTGTCACCGAGCGAAACAAGCTTATCCTTTATTAAACCAGAAAAGGACCAAAGCAAGAATAATAGCGCATATCTCGGTGGGATCAGAGCTATTGGTATGCAACTAAAACAAACACGAGAAAGTTAGCGGTGTTCGGCAAACTATATAAATGTTTATTCCAAGAAAATTCCACACCTCCCCTGAAGGGTGGTGAACTGGAATGTCGCCGGGGGGGGGAAACAATAGCTCTGGAAATCAGGACGGGGAGGGGTGCTAATATAAAGGTTCTCCCGCGGGATCAATTTTAACACTAATTTGCATCAACAAGTCAATCAGGGCCTGTTTACATGGAGGTGGGGTGGGGTAGCCCGCCTGTCCATATAATCTATCATTTTAATGTGATCACGTTTACATGTTAGGTGAGGTAACCCGCCACATGTTACCTCACCTACCTGGGGTCCCCCACCTTCATGTAAACAGGCCCTCAGAGCCGGTCAAGCGTTCCGCCCTCGTTAACGGAACAATGAATTCATTCATTCCGTTCGCTGATCCTGAAATGAATAATCCAATACTCAAATATTTCAGTTATTAGTAAGGTAAAACAAGCGCAGAATCTCTACCCTTTTAGAAATAACATAAGGATAGTGAATCCTATCATCCTGTTAAGGATGATAAAAGTGATCAACAACAGTAGACAGCTATTAGAGTCTAAAGAATTGACAAGCGCCGTTTTGTGTGATTCATTCTAATTATCAAAATTGGTCACTCCTGCTTTTGCTGATTGTAACCTGAGCATTTTGCGAAAAAAGCCGCTATCAGAGCCGTTTCCTGGTCGCTCTTTTGCCCAAAGCGCCGTGCATTCGTTGCGGACCTCCACGCTGTGCTAAAGATCACTTTGCAAAGTTCCGGAATGCGCAGGAGGCAAAATACCTTACCGCCACTCTGCTCTTATTTGCTTCTTTCACTTTTCTTAGCCCGCTTTTTCTTTTGCTGGGCATTTAGTAGGCTACGGTAGGAAAAATTTCAGCCAAAACGTTCCGATTCGGGATCGTAAGATTTGATCAGCGGGGGAGGGGGAGGGGGTTGAGGTAACTCTATTGTTTTCCACCTTAGTTTCTTGACCCACTCCGCCTGCCAGTATGACGTCACATAGTAACGGGCAAGAGCCTCGGGTCGCTTGTGCAAATTAGCAAGGGATTTATGGTTTTCACAGTGGCGTCATCAGATTGCAAAGTCAAAATAGCAAGGCTTTACAAATTTTTATTTCCACTAGGTTTAAGATAACAAGAAAATAAATCTTTGAACAAGGTTCCAGCCCAGAAGCATGTTTCATTTCGAAAATACAGCAATTAGAACTTCCGAGTTTTCACCGGTGAGTGACACCAAAATAGGAATGTTGTCTCATTGAAAAAAGTCTCTCCTCTTGATTTTCAGCAGTTTAACCATTTCAAGTATTAAACTGATGTGTTTATGCGCACGTATGCTAGCTCTCGAGTGAAAAAGAAGAGTTTTTACAGAAAAAGTGGACTCCAGATGTTTTTGTTGATTTCCGGCGGCCATATTGGTGGACAGTTTATGTCCACCAATATGGCTTCTTCCTGTGGACGGTTTCCAACGACAGTTATTTGGACGAGCGAGGTCGAGGAAAAGCTAAGAAGCTAGCAAATATCGCTATATATCGCTTATTTGATCGAATGTGTGTGAGCTTTGGTGTTGCTGTAATTGCTTGTGTAAACCGTTTTGACATTTTGTGTCCTTGATTGTGTAAATTTGTTAATTTGTTTTGCGGGCCGTGTTGCGGGATCGACATCTATTTCGCGGGACCGGCAAGGTCATCAAAACTTAAATATTTTTTTCTTCTGAATAGGCAAGGTCTAGTCTCCAGAATAGGTTCCATTCACAGATCACACATGTTTATATTTCATCTATTCTTTTGCTAATTAAACAGGCCTAACTTCATATCATTCCTTTCGAGTGTGGGCCTCTTTGATCTCCTAATTCTCCATCAAATTCAGTAAAGCTAGTTCGATCGATTATCTACATCGAGTGAATGAATGAATGAATGAATGAATGAATGGATGAAGAGTAGTGGATGAGAGGACAACAGACGTGCAAAGTCGCCACTGCTAGCCGCTCTCAGTCCATTTATGAGTTTAATGTACCCACCCAGCCCATGATGTGAATGATGTGATGCGTGAAAGTTGACCACAACACCGGGGTCTACGTCCCCTACTCTTTTCGAACAGTGGTGTGGGTTCTTTTACGTCCCACAAGAACCAGAGAAGTGAAGTGCTGTGAGACGGGACCTACGGTTTTTCGTCCTTACCCGAGAAGACTAGAAAGTCTAACCGTTTGCAGATGTCATTACAAAGACAGCACTTTCTTCTCATTTATTTAAAGACCGAGTTGGTCCGGCCGGGGTTCGAACCCGTGACCTCCCGCTCAGCAGACCGGCGG